AATAAGCTACTAGTAACAAGTGCATCGCTTCTAGTAACAAGTGCCTTACTAGTAGTAACAATAAGCTATTAGAAACAACAATTAAATTAGAAACACTAAGTTACTAGTAACAAGTGCATCGCTTCTAGTAACAAGTGCCTTACTAGTAGTAACAATAAGCTATTAGAAACAATAATTACATTAGAAACAATAAGCTACTAGTAACAAATGCATCGCTTCTAGTAACAAGTGCCTTACTAGTAGTAACAATAAGCTATTAGAAACAATAATTACATTAGAAACAATAAGCTACTAGTAATTTCTTTTTGCATACGGTAGGTTGTGGATGCCGTGCGCCGCTGCAAGTTCAAAACAAAGCGGACAATTGCAGGAACACATTCTTGAGTCCAAGGTCAACCAAACCAACGAAAACAACTGGCGCAACCCCCCCAAGTTGACTTCCAATTCCTGAAAAATGTGCCAGGATCCTTGAGCAAGAGGTTCTTTTCTTGAAGGATTGCGTGGGCAGCGAAGTTGAGGCAAAGGTGTTCAATCGTTTGACAGAGTCAGCTTTTCTTTTTGACAACGGACGTGAGAACCACTTATTGAACCTATTGCTGGAATTTGGAGTCCAGGCAGCCTGTGCTGATCCTGCTGCCGGTTCTGTTATTTTGCTCGAAAATCTAAGTTGGGACTTCAGACATCGTTGCACAGACATGTGCGGGGAACATGGAGAGTTTTCAGGATTTCACATCGAAGAAGAAGGCAAGAATGAAGCAAAGGAAAAGGCGAGGCGCATGCAAACAAAACATAACAAAGAGGCAGCAAAGATCCACACTCTCTTTGCAAATGCTAAGGCTGACCCCGACAAGGTTAAGGATTTCCGAGCCTCCTTGGTGTGTGTCTTAAGAGTCCTAAGTCATCATGCAACCCTTACAATTTGAATAAGGCAAAACTTGGAGATGTCTATGTGAACGACGCTTTTGGCACAGCTCATAGAGTCCGCCCAACTCAGTTTCATCCTACACCATTCCTAGTTGCTTTCTTGGTGTCCCCTGTTGAGTAAGGCACATAGCAGCATGCTTGGTGAGGGCTTTCCCATCAGAGTGGCTGGCTTTTTGATGGGTTTGCGCCTCACTTTGCCGTTCAAGCAAACCAATTGAAAGGGGATGTATATTTTTCCTCTTTCTGTTTGCATGTGTTTTTCATGAGGCAAGGAGTTGGCCTCATTTGGCAAGGCCTGAATGACCAACAAAGCTGTGGCCACTTGAAGTTCGGACGTCACCAGGTCTTGAACAAACCACGCCGACCAGTCCTTGCAATTCTTGGTGGTGCCAAGGTGATTGGTGGAGGGTAGAGAAATGTCAACAGGGTGATATCCAAGCATCAGAATCTGACATTAAGGTAAGCGACAAGATTCAGCTCATCAAGAATATGCTTGACAAGGCGATATAAATAATAAATACCACAGTTTTTGCTTTGATTCGTCTGGCCTTTTTTTCTACCTGACAACAACCGGTCAACGAAGACCAACTTGCCGCGATTGTGCTTCACACTTAGAATCCACAAGAAGGAACATCATGCTTTTCGGCTTGTCAGGTTGACATTATGATCATTGGAGGCGGAATGGCCGGGACCCCATCTTCGTCTCTGAGTCAAATCAAAGCAACTTGTTGGCGGGTGAGGCCTATACCTTCCTCAAAGTCAATGATGAAATGGAGATTGGCAAATCCTTGTTCGATGAGGTGTGCTTCTTGACACATGTGAGTCATGAACCTAAAGTCCTAATCTCTATTTACAGGAACACGTTTGAATGCTCGCCATCAAAACACTGCTTTCCATTCCAGTTGAAACCAACGCAAGGCATACTGTAAGGCCAGGGATGTGTGGAGTGTTGGAGTGTGAGGAGGGCTCAAAGATTGTGCCAGACATCATGGAGAAGGTTAGGACGCCAGGGGTCTGCATGATTTTGTTTGTAAGGCTGACAGAGGTGGTGTTGCATTTGTCAGGCGAAGGAGAAAGGTGTCATGAGCTCAGAGAGCAAAATGCAATTTGTTCTTGACCAATTATGTCACCACAAAAAATGCCTACTTACCCTGTAGATACCGAGGCAGCCATCAGGTTGCACTCCTATCAAAGGTTTCATTCATTCCTTTGCCCTTGGCTATATACTCCACTTTTGATACTGTATCGATCTTTTTGGCATGGCTGAGTCCTCGATGGGCGAATGCAGTGAGTAATAGGGGGTGTCGGAGGGGGTGTGGTCGCAGGGCGTGAGCCCAGAGCCTGATGGGGGAGAGCGAAAGAAAGAGGCGGTCCAAAAGATAGTGAAAATGTATGTTTTTCGGGGTCTTGGTGACGCGAGTGATGCAAATGACGCTGAACAGTGCATCATTAGCATCACAAAGTGCCCAGGAGACTATTAAAGTGGTCTACTGAGGCGATCACTGCGTTGCTTTCAAGCTGATAGGAAAGGAAAGTAGCGCTTTGACTTTCGCTGCTCTAGTAGCTCAGTTGAAGTCACCCATTGCAGTCACGGTGCTTGACCTAGCTTCTCTATGTAAGCAGATACACTAGTCCCCCCAATAGAGTTACCACAGTCTAAGGAAAATGTTGGGGGCTCACTTTTTTGCATGAAAAGCAGCCTTGAGCCGGAAGGCTATGGGCACCGCCTAGAACTGTAAATGTCCAAGGAAGCTGGACACTTATGTGCACGAGTATGGGAACCAAGCATATCCTATGACCAGTGACAGTGGATGGAGGTTGGTAAAGGCTGCCTTGTGCATATAGGCTCCATCATATCAAACCTGAAACTTTATGTGTGTCTGCTTTCTGTCTTCCCGTGGCCAAAAAACGTATGCAGCTTAGACTTCACCCTGAAGCAATAGCACAGGAGGTGAGGCTGATGAAGCATTTTCCGAGAACGAAGAGATGAAAATCCAGGCGCGATCGTTCATCAATGCAGCCGAAGCTGGATACCAGACTCTACAAGAGCAGGCTCAGAATCAATTCATGGAAATGGCCATGAACCACCGTCAACAAATCGCTGGACTTGAAATGATGCAAGGTCAGAAAGTCTCTTTCCTCGAAATGAACTTGGCGCAGCAACAGCATGCATCTATGGATTTTCAGAGGCGGTTAACTGAAACGGAATCTGTACAGGCGCAACTACTGAAGGAACTTCGCGAATTGAAGGGACGAAAGGACGAAGTGCCGAAGGGACTGCCGAAGTTCGCGATTCCATACCGAAGCATGAAGCACCACTCACAGGTTTATCTCAAGCCGATGATGTCCGATCTTTTAGAACTGCTGATCTGTTCGGTACTCCATCCATGAAGTCTCAACCCGGAAGCCTAACGCTACAGTTTTCCAACCGGTGAGTCCATGGAATGATGGGTATGGATCATTAGCAGCAAATGCATTGTCGGGCAACTTCGGTAGGGGTGGACCAGGGAACGGTGGTGGTGGACCGCCGGGTGGGGAGGAGACAATCCTGGTGGAGGTCGTTCATCAGGTGACCCAATCAACCCTGGGCGACCAGGCATTCCGCTTCTCAAGATTCCCAAATCGGGGGGTGGACCACCTGGTCCTCCGGGGGACGACAGCGACCCAGACGGGGGAGATGATTTTGAAGATGATGACGATGAACTGACGGACAAGGCTCTCATGAAGAAGCTCAAACAGGTTTTGGGGGGTAAAAGTAGTACCACGAAGGAAGCAGACCATATCAAGATACCTTCCTTTCCACAGCCCGAGAACTATCGCAATTGGAAGATTAGGGTGAGGGATGCGGTGAGGGCCGCATCTTCCAAGCCCGACAAAGCATTCTTGTGGATTAACAAGGTTTGGATTGAAGGTCAAACTATTGAAGGTCTTGCGAGTCCCGACGGGTTCACAACCCTCGATGCCAAGCTTCTTGCCGCACTGTCATCCATCGCCACAGGCCACAGGTGAATTCGCACGCAAAGTTGACACATTCAAGGAGAAAGAATCCCAGAAAGATCGTCCAGTACGGGGGAGACAGGCGTTGCTGATGATGCGCGAGTACTTCAGTACCAATATCAAACATGGCGCCACTTATTCCCTCAGTGATCTGTTCAATGTGAGAATGAAGGGCGACAATCTCAAGACTTTCTTGTCGAACTGGGATTCAGTTACCACCGGTGTTACCCATTTGCCTGAAACTACTGTCCTGGAAACCTTATTCTACCAACAAGTGAAGAATCACAGGGCAATCGCCCATGACATTGAGGAGTACCACCGGGCCGAAGAGGGAAGTTCAAAGCGTTGCTATCAATTCCTGTATGACGCTGTTCGCAGACATCTCATGAGGGAAAGGCTAGAGGACAATCGGGGACGGATCGCCGCTAGTGTTGGAGGTGCCAAGACGTCCGCTCCTGCTGCCGACGCGCGCACACCGTTCACCCCCAGGGGGTTTTGTGTTCAGTGGAACAAAGGGGGTTGTAGCAAGGAAAACTGTCCATTCAAGCATGAGGTTCCCAAGAAACGTGAGAAGAGTGCAACCAAGAGTCCAAGGGGGCGCTCACAGTCAAGAGGGAAAGAGAAAAGGGACACCTCCAAGATTGCGCGCAAGTTTTGGAAGGCTGGACGCTGCAAGTGGGGGGACAAGTGTGAATTCTCCCATGAAGGTCAACAGCGACCCAGGAAGGCCACCCCTGCAAGATCGCCTTCACGAGACTCTCAAAAGAGTGACAAGAGCAAGAAAGACAGACGCAGAAAGAAGAAGGGAGACCGATCTCAGTCGAGGGGCTCCAGTGGTTCGCGTAAGTCTGGAGGCTCCAGATCCTCCAAGGCTTCTCGTGGTTCGAAGGGCAGTGCAGGTAAGTCCACTCCCGCGGCAGTTTGTCTGGTTGCATCCATGCTCGCATCCGTCGTCGATGGTCTCTCGTTGAACGGTCCTACGTCCATGTTGGATCATGTCGGGATCAACGTCAGCGAGAGCCAGGCGGCCTGGGAAGGCGAGCCATGTGTTGCATGTCCAGGTGTGTCATTCAACCTCAAACCTGATATCACGAAGATTCATGCTTGGGGCAGATTAGATCCTTTTGTTTCGGAACCATCCAAACCGAAGAAGACTTTCCCAGCTAGCTATCAGACCAAGCCCAACATTCAAGCAGTTGACGATTCAATATTGTCAGCACGCATGCTTCAGGGAGCCGTTTCCGGTTGGCTGAAGGGTGTCAAAGCAGCTTGTAGGCACATGTGTGATTCAGACTTAGGTTGTGACTCATGCATTCCTGCCGACATTGTTGCAATGCCCGCATCCTCTCCGAGAGAAGTCAAGTACTTCCACCATTCGCACGAGGACTGGATTGCAGACACCGGAAGTGCTCAGGACCTGTTGACACGACATGACATCCCTGATGAGTTCCAATATCGATCGGACCGGCCAATTGCTATCATAACAGCTAATGGTCACAGTTCATCAAATTATCTTCAGGCTAAGGTGTACAATGACACGTTGAGTTGCAGGTTTGATCCATATCTGCTCGAGTCTACGCCGCCGGTCATGTCCGTGGGCGTGAGATGTGTTGATCAAGTGTATGATTTTATTTGGAGATCCGGCAAATTACCCTACTTTAGGAAGCCGGACGGAGAAAAGATAGAGCTTCTGGTTAGGGATTACGCCCCCTACATTCCTGCCAGGGCAAAATCAAATGCCAGTCCATGCACTCCTCGCTCGACTTTATCCTCTACACTGGCTCCGACGTCTCTTCATCCCATAGCCCCTGGACCTGGTACAGCTGCTCCTGCTGAACCGGCATTGGCCTCGGGTGATGACGGGATGAATGCGTTGAAAGAGAGCCCAGAGAAGGATGAAGCGGGCCGGAAGGCTACGCCGGAGAAAGAGAAAGAAGCACCGAAGGGCAGTGCGGACTGGAAGGTCTCGCCGATGGATGATGTTGATGATGATGCTCCGCAGGTACCTGCCGAAGGTAACTTGGACAGGAATCTGGGAAAGGGGATATCATTATTGAAGGAAGAGGCTAAATCACTCGGGCACCTGGTGAGCCATCACCCCAAGAACCCATATTGTGACGTTTGCAACAAAGCAAAAATGAGCAAGCCTCCATCGTATCGGCGGGACGGGTCCTCAATAGTTGAAGCCAAGAAATTCGGTGATCGCATAACTTGTGACTTTCTCATTACCGGTGATGAATATGAAGTGGGAATCGATGAAGAGAAGTGTGCATTGATTGTCAAAGACATATACTCCAACTTCATGTATGTGTATCCCAGTGCTAGAAAAAGTGCCGAATCGGTCATCCTGGCTATGAAACACTTCATTTCGAGTGAAGATGAGGGAGGAATTTGCTACTCTGACAATGCTCCTGGATTGATCAATGCCATGAAAGAGCTAAAGTGGAGACATGTACTGTCAAAGGCATACATATCCGCCAGCAATGCAGTAGCAGAAAGGTCGATCCGAACCGTGCTTGAAGGAACTCGTGTGAACCTCTTGCAATCCGGTCTCAATCATGGATTTTGGCCATATGCTGCTCGTCATTGGTGTGTCATGAATAACAACCTGTATGCACTAGACGGAACTGCCTCCCCGTGGGAGCTGAGATTCGGAGAGCAATCACCTATTAAGCGTTGGCCTTTCGGATGCATGGTGAACTACTGGAACGGTCCTAAGAAGAAGCCCAAAGACGAGCTGAGGTTTGACCCCACGTCAAGTGCAGGAATCTTCATTGGTTACATCGTTCACCCAGGGTTTCAATGGAGGACGGAATACTTTGTAGTTGACCTCAAGTCGGCCAAGGCAGATAAATATGAGGATATGCACCAAATCAAAAGAGTCATTCGCATCGATGTACCTGAACCGTTTACCGTCCCACTGAAGGATCGCAAGGAGATGATTCGCAGAGGAGAGCTCGCTGACGCAGCCGAAGAGGAAGTCGAAACAATCCTTGAAGTCCAAGATGCTGTTGAAAGTGTTGCCCCAAACCCAAAGGCAGAAACACTCGAGAAATCGGACACCACTCTTCCAAAGGGGCCA